GCTCTACACCTTGTTATCTCAGATTCTCCTGCATCAGCAGTTCCTACCATCTCTATTTCAGTTGAAGTAGCAATTTACCTGCACTTCTCTCAATCCAATCTACTGTATTCAGTGCTCACAATGCGGTCTCCTCTACACTGGGGAAACAAAATGTGGACTGGATGACCACTTCACAGACACCTACATTCTGTCCACAAAAAAAAAACCCAAGCTTCCAGTTAGGAATAGCAAGAACTGCAGATGTCGGAGTCAGGGATAACACAGTGTGGAGCTGGAGGAACACAACAGGCCAAGCAACATCAGAGGAGCAGGAAAGCCCATTTCTGAAGGGCCCCGATCCGAAACGTCAACAGGCCAAGCAACATCAGAGGAGCAGGAAAGCCCATTTCTGAAGGGCCCCGATCCGAAACGTCAACTTTCCTGCTTCTCTGATGCTGCCTGGCCTGCTGTGTTCCTTCAGCTCCACACTGTGTTATCCCAAGCTTCCAGTTGACTGCCACTTCAACGCACTACTGTGTTCCCTGGCCAAGATGCGTGTCTCAGGCTTCCTGCAGTGCTCCAGCGAAGCTCAGTGCAAGCTGGAAGAACAACACATTTTCTGCCTTGGTACCTTACAGCTTTCAGGACTCGATATAGAGTTTAACGATTTTTGAGCCTGAATACTTACTTCCATGTCCTTTCAGCACAGCCAACCCATTTTCACCTACTCATAAGCACCATTATCATTTCTCAGGCTTGTCTCTGGTCAACCATCAACAAATTTTTTGTCTGCCCACTAATTTTTCCCCCTCACTCACTCTCTGGAATCCGTCTCCAACTATTTGCTCACTCCTCCCCTGTCATCAGCAAATATACCACCTTTTCCCAGCTGCTATCAGTTCTGAAGGAGGGTCACAGGACTCAGAACATAAATGCTGTTTTCTCTTCACAGATGGAGACTGACCAGCTGAGTTTCCTCAGCAATGTCTGTTGATTTTTGTTTCAAATCTCCAGCATCCACAGTTATTTGCTTCAATTGTCAAAATGTGCCATTAACTGAGTGCTAGAGACACCTAGTGTTCAACACAGCAACCTGCTTGTTGTAATAGATCTCCACAGCTGGTCACCTCACTACAGGAATGAAATGGAATAAAAAGCACTTTCTTTTCCCCTCTGCAACCTGTGATAAATATATACAGTGTAAGGAGACAAAACCCAGAAATAGAATCAAGTGACACATTTGCAAAGTAAAACTTTAATTGCATAAGTGGAGCTTCTCGGGGGCTTCAGTTTGGAAGCTGCAGGTAAGTTAAATAAGCAGGTAGGAGTCAGAATGCAAGCTGATTGCTTCTTTCTACCTTTGGAAGAGAGAGAGCGATGATAGGCTTGTAGCCCAGGATAGGCTGCAAGGCGACCCCATGAAGGATCAGCAAATTATTTTAATTAAAAACACAGTATGCTGGAGAACTCAGCAAGTCTGACAGCGTCTGTGGACACAGGTGAGTTAATGTTTTGACTGGGTGTTCTTGTGCTTGAAGCACAGTTAGAAAAGTTCACACGCAGCTGCAGCAAGTAACTAAGGCAGCAAATGGAATTTTGGCCTTTGTTGCAAAGGAGTTGGCGTTTAAAAGGTCAACACTTGTTACAACTGTATGGGGTATTGGTGAGGCCACACCGAGAGGACTTTACAGTTCTGGTCCCTATATTTAAGAAAGGATGTGCTGGCATTGGGGGCAGCTCAGAAGAGATTCACTGGGCTGATTTCTGGGATGAAGGGTTGACTTATTAAGAACAACAAAATGGTTTAAAAGCCTTTATTGAGATTTTAAGAATATGGTAGGGTTGAGGATGCTTGACAAGAGAAGATATTTCCACTCATGGGGGAATCTCCATAGTTAGAGAATAAGGGGAACACTCATTTAAAACTGAGTTGTGAAGAAATTTCTTCTCCCAGAGGGTAATGGAATGTTTGGAATTCTCTACCCCACGCAGTTGTGAATCCTGGGTCACTGAAAGTATTTAAAGATGTGGATAGATTTTTGAAATATCAAGGTGATGAGAGCCATGGTGAACTGGCACAATAGGAGTGGAGACTTGGGCAGATCAGCCATAATCTTGTTGGATAGTGATCAGGCTTGAGGGGCCGAATGGCCCACTCCCGCTCCTATTTCTTATGATTCTTCTATGGAACCACAGTACTTTTTATTTCAGAGCTAATTCTTACACTGTTCTGGAGAACGAGAGGGCTATCAGATAAGGACAGACAGAAAACAAGGATTTTGCTGAAAACCTTTTAATTGAGTTCTGACATTTTATAATCAAACACAAACTAAACTCCACAGCCTGATAGCTCAGATGGTGTAGAATTCCGAAACGAGACACAGATCAAACAAGATTTTAAATTATCCCTTAAATATCAAATGCAATAATTGTTGAAATAATCACAGTCCAGGCCAGTCTGTGCCGAGAGACCCCAATCTGGTCACTCTTTTTGGCTGTGGGAGATTTTGAGACAGTTAGCTCACATCATTGAGGAATCAACGCTGTTGCCAAGACACAGGATTGGTAAATATCAGAGACACTGGGAGCAGACAAATGAAAGGAGACTTTTGGACATGTCAGTGTTGCTGGATCAGAGAATACAGGTTTAAATCTCATTTGAGAATTTGAATACAGTTTAAAATTCTGGAGATAAATCAGTATTAATTTTTTAAAATCACCCGTCAGTTTGTCAAGTTGCCACCTGGTTTAATGGTGTATTCCATGGTGGGTCCTTACCCAGGCTTGGCCCAAATGTTACTCCAGTCCCAAACACCAACGTGCCTCATTCAATTGCTTTCTGAAAGCGAAAGGTCAAGTCACCACGGTCCTACCAGACCATAGGGCTGCTCTCTCTAATGAGAGAGAGAAGGGGAGAGAGAGCGCGCAAGAGAGAGAGAACAGGTGGTGGTCTAACCTGAGGGTCACCTTACCTCTGGATAGGGGAGAGGTTGAAGTGGAGAGTCCTTCATGGTATCTTCAGCCAGTGCAGGAATTGAACCCAGGCTGTTGGCGTTACCTGCATTTCAAACCAACTGTCCAATCAACTGAGCTAACTAACTCCCTCCCCACCCCCAACTCTGAAGCATCCTAGCAAACACCTCAGCGTTAACCTAACTCCCATCTCCGATCGCTACGGACAGGCCATCACTCAGCGAGAGTCACACACTGACAATGAATCATAAGAGAACACTACTTTCAGCTCAGCATTACCAACAGTGTTACCCCTTCCTCAGGACTCCTGGTCCGACATGATCACAGGAAAACACCTCACAACAGCAGGCCCTGTGATCCATCAGCATCGTGCCACTTTCAACTCCACCCCATAGTTTGCTTCGGTCACATTTGCTTCAGCAACAAGAAGTGCTTGCCAACAATGCATTATTAAAATAGGGCTCCTCAAAATAAGAACCTTGATCCATGCTCCCAGCAAACTCCAGCGCCCTTTCACAATGGGCATGCGGCTCAGAGAGATGACAGAAGGTTGACGGAGTGGATCGCAATCACAGAAGAAACTGTATGCTCAGGGGCTGAGTTCAGATAGGGGCAGCAAGAAGTCACTTCTGAAAGGCAGCAAGGAATGGCAGAGTCACTTCTTCACTTTCACACACAGCTTCAAGTGTACGTCACAGAGAAAGACGTTCATTAGATCCTGGCCCACGTCCTGGGCAATTTTACCGATCAGCTGACCTCCCTGCCCAATTAACAATTTCTGTGGAGACAAAATTTCAAAACAAACTGAGTGCTATGATCTCTATGTTATTACCAGACAAGTCAGGTCCCAGAATAAAATACGGTTTGATACTTCATTTTATTTTGGTTTTAACAAGGTAGTCTTTCACTGAAACACAGGCACATAATGCTGCAGGTTGGGATTTGGTTTAGAAAAAACATGTTTATTACAGAAATAAAGATAAAAATCATACACACAAAACAATTTACATACAACACATATTTAAAGATTTCAAAGCACACAGTTATAATAAAATCCCATTACTCCCAGCAGCATCCCATGCCAGTCCTCAAACACAGACAATGCCCTCTCTATCCTACACAGCTTGACTTGGTTGAGACTTCAATTCCTAGTCATGAGAATCTAGTTGCCTCTCCTTTGATTTCTCATAACTGCGCTCTGACTTTCTCAGCTTTACATAATTCTATTCAAGGTTTTAACTAAACACTTTTGGTGTGATTCTTCAAACTTACCTTACACAGAGGTTAACCTGGTATTAACAATTCCAAATTATCTTTTCCTTTCTCAGGAGCAGCTGCTTTACACATACAGCTAAGGACCCCGCAGAACTCCCAAACTGAAATGAAAAATTAACTTTTTCCTCCGATGCTATATGCTCCACCAAGTCCAAATAACATACAGAATTTTCTATCTGAAAACTTAATGGGCTACACTGTTAACTTTGAAATTGCTGGCGAAACCCAGCATGTCTGGCAGCATTAGTGGACTTGAAATGTTCACACTGCTTTCTTCCCACAGATGCTGCCAGACCTGTGGAGTTTCACCAACACTTGGTTTTTGTTTCAAATCTCCCAACATCCGCAGTTCTGTTTTAATACACCGATAACTCTGTTAGCTTATAAACTCTCCTAATGTAAATAAATTCCCACTTGCTTCCTAAAGTATTTCTCCCAGACTGTTTTTAAAAAGACATCACCCCAGATATACTTGAGTTCATCAGACACAGAAAGGTAACAGTAACAAGGAATAGGCAATAAATACTGGCCCAGCCAGTGATGCCCACGAGGGACTAAAACCAAAACCAAATTTACCACAAGTTCAAATTTTAAAAATCCAAATTCAAAAATAAATTATATTTTAATATCTATAAATCACACACCTTCCATCCCATCAGAGGGTATCATCTCAGAGTAAGGGGTTATCCACTTAAGGGGGAAATTCATTCCCTTAGAGGGTAATGAATCTGTGGAATTCTTTACTGCAGAGGGCTATTGAGGCTGGGTCATTAAGTATATTCAAAGCTGAGATAGACATATTTTTAAACAGTAAAACAATCAAGGGTTATGGGGAAAAAGCAGGAATGGTCACTGGACCAGATACGTTAACTCTGATTTTTCTTCACTGATGCTGCCAGACATACTGAGCTTTTCCAGCAACTTCTGCTTTTGTTCCTGTTAAAGGAATTGATATGATAAATGCAGAAGAACCATTTCTTCTGATTAGTATGGTCTGGAATAAAGGGACATCACTTTAAAACAACAACTAGGCTGTTCAGGGAATAAATGAATTCAAGATATCTTTAATTGAAGGGATGAACAGACTAACATATGGCATTGCAAACAAGGCAAATATGCAGTAGCTTATGCAAAGGACAAACAGAGCTCTCCTTTAATTTCGAGACAACAAGGTGCAAGGCTGGATGAACACAGCAGGCCAAGCAGCATCATAGGAGCAGAGGGTCTAGGCCTGAAACGTCAGCCTCTCTGCTCCTATGATGCTG